GACTTGAGATTATAAGATTTTGAAGACAGCAACAAGTGAGAAGACGAGCAAAGATTTCTAGCAGATCTGTGAACGGTGATGAGTTCCTTGAGGTAAACAGGAGAAAGACCATGAAGCGCTTTAAGTGCTAGTAGAATTATTTTAAACTTAATACGTTCAGCAACAGGAAGCCAATGTAAATCAATAAGGACAGGAGTGATGTGATTATGTTTTTGAGATAAGGTAACGAGACGAGCAGAGGCGTTTTGAACAGTTTGAAGTGTGTCAATAATAAGTTGCTTGGGAAGACCAAAAAGTAACGAATTGCAGTGATCAAGTTTAGAAGTTATAAACGCATGAACACTAGAGTTTCAGTGATCTTGAGGGAGAGGAAGTTTCTGATTCTAGCAATATTTCGAAAATGATAGAAGGCAGATTTTGTTTAAAGTCATCCAGTTGTCAATGTAAGTTAAACAGGTTTCAATTAAATTCATGGCTTGATCGAGGGGAAAATCATCATTACAGGAAAAAGGAATATACAGTTGCGTGTCGTCAGCATACAGGTGAAAAGACATATGGTGTTTACGAACAAGGTCAGCAACAGGCGAAGTGTCGGAGGAGATATAATATAGGGCCAAGAACAGAACCTTGGGGTACACCACAATCGAGCTCGAGGGATTCAGAAGAGACGCCATCAAGGGATACGAATTGTGAACGATTAGAAAGGTAGGATTTGAACCAGCAGAGAGCATTACCAGTGATACCAAATTTAGAATTAAGACGCTTGAAAAGAATTGTGTGGTCCACAGTATTAAAAGCAGCAGATAAATCAAGAAGTAACAAGGCACACAGGAACGATTGTCTATGGTTTGAAGAATGTCATTCTTGACACGAAGAAGAGCAGTTTCACAACTATGGAAAGACTTGTAGGCAGCCTGCATGGGCTCAGGAAGATTGTTATCAGATAGATAATTATTGAGTTGAACAGCAACGACTTTCTCAATGATTTTAGAAACTGTTTTCAGGTTAGATATAGGGCGATAATTTCCAAAAACTTCATGATCAATGGTATATTACAAACCCTGTGCTCTGATTGGCTAAGCTTCTAGTGATCTATTAGTGGCAGACCACTAGTCACGAAAAGTAGCTTTGAAAACTAAAACAATTACACAAAAATAGATTATTTCATCCCAATTTCAACATTGTTTGTATTCATTTGCTTGACCTATATTAGCAGATTTATGTAAAAACAAATGGACCTCTCGCACTTATCGCGGTTTACGAGTCAATAGAGAGTTTTAGATTTACGTTCACGGCAAACGTGAAACGTCAGTTGACCAGTGAAAGATTATTTTAAATAGCGGAGAAAGAATCGCAAAAAAGGTTAAGTAGTAGGAAAACAGAAGAATATTTGTGTGTAGTGAGAAAGTTTGTAAAAGGTCAAGTAAAGATGAAAACGTGGTCACATTTGCCGTTTGCGAGAAGAAAAAAAGTCAATCTAAAACTCTCTAATAGCCAATGTTGACTCCAGCGTAGACCATAGGACTGCGGGAATAAACTAAACCCATTCGAAGGTAAAATTCAATGCTGTGTTTCTCATACACGTTACAAACTTAATTTCGTTAAAACTTTCGTCATTTATAAAGTATCTTTTCTAGTTTATAAAAATACAAATTGTGAATATTGAATGGGTAGAACTGTGGTGAAATAATGATAGATGTGTTGATCATCACAGTGAATGCTGTAAAGAAAGATTTGAAAAAGTGATTTCAAGCTTCAACGGGAATCGAACCCATGATATGGGGTCGATGTGGGGTCGATGAGAGGTCGATGAGAGGTCGATGAGAGGTCGATGTAGGGTCGATGAGAGGTCGATGTGGGGTCGATATGGGGTCGATATGGGGTCGATGTGGGGTCGATTTGAGGTCGATGAGAGGGCGATGTGGGGTGGATGTCAATCTACACTAGAATCTACACTAGAATCTATACTATATCTACTATCTACACTAGAATCTACACTATATAGAGCTAGRCTATCAGCTATCAAGCTATCGGCTATTGGCATGTACCTGGCCTGAAAGTCTACACCTAGGCCTGGCTGAACTCATTAGTGAATAAGAAATTTGCGCTWATTATTTTTAAAAATTGGRCGGTTTGTTTTGTAAAACTGAGAAAGAGTAGATCGTGGTCTTGATATCAAGTAGGTGATTCGCGTGATTGATCCGGCAATTATGCAGAACAGAGTCCTCTATTGTTTCAAGTGACGGGTGTTTCTATTGAACAAATATATACTAACAATCAAAACATCATACTTAGTTAAATAATGAAAAGAGCTGTAACTAAACTTATTTTGTATTCACATGCATTGAGCGTTTTATAAATAAATTTTAATTTTTTTTAGAAAACGTGTTTGTCGTTGTTCCTTGGGCAAGTCATCTATTGTTTGTTTTTGATGAGTCAACAATTTGACAGGGAACATAAAAACAGACGCTGATTGGCTCATGCGTTTGATCAAGCCATAATTAGGACTATTCTAAAAATAGATGTGACCTATCCAGGAGGGTGCTCAGAAGCGGCCCTGATTGCTTCTCAAGAACTATGACGTCATAATAGGGGTTGTTCTAAAAATAGATATGACCTATCCGAAGAGGAGGTGTGACGACACTATGAAGGGTATGACGTCATTTCATAGGGGTGACGTCATTGCAAGGGCTGATCCGCGATCCGCCCTGATCCGCCCGACGCAGAACCGCTATTCTGTATACTACTAATAAAGCACAGTTTTCGACCAATCAGAGCACACGCACTATCCTAACTATATAATCTTATCACTGTGTTGCTATGCGACAGCACGTTTATATTCGCCAACAAAAGTGAGAGCTATTAATCTTTATGTATAGCTCTACTTAAACTAGGAAAATAAGGCTTCAAATATTCCAGTGAGTCAACGAATGCCATGTTTAATTAATAAAGTTTACTTGCCAGATTTTTACTTTGAAATTATTGAATACTAAATGGCCGGCATTTTCCTTTTTTTTTTTTTCTTCAGGAATTTTCCTCGGGTAGATTTCAATTTGACGGATTTGAGTAGACAGGAATAGGTTACTCGAACAAAGGAAGGTTTCACTTCTATATTTTCTATTAATTTAAAACTCATAAAAGAAAAACGGGAAAAAGGAGAAAACGCATGAGTAGGTATGATATTTTGGTCACCCATCCAAGTGCTAACCCTCCTCAGACGAGCTTGACTCAGTATCTTGAACGACAACAATTTATCCACTGGACCACGGTTCCAGGTGAATCAGCATAACAATAGCCATGAAAACAATGCACCGTATAGACTCGACTTTTTAACATTAAATTTTCAACCGATTCCGTGCGTGGCAGAGATGCAAGGGATTAGCCGACATGGTCTGGGGGCCGGCTGGTCTCTCCCCTGATGCTTCGGCTAGAACATTTTCTTGCGTAATTCGTACATCCAAGGGCAGAAGGATTTAATCGCCGTCAGGTCTGAAGTCCATACGACGCCCCAGCTCTGCGGATGTCTCGGGGGTATGGCAAAGTGGAATCGATTTTTTGAATTTCTTTTGGTGGGTTCGAGTCCCATCTCACATAAGATTTTTCATTTTTTGTTGTTTAATCGCTTTTTATCAGATTTAAATCTTCAACGATAAGTCAATCTTTTTAGTGAAAAAAGATTTATTCTTCGTCGGTTGCTTATAAGCCTGTATAAGCAATATTGATTTGCGAAAAGTAGAGCTATACTTTCCTATCTTCCCTGGCAAAGTTTGTTGACAAGAACTTTTACTGCACTTGGATCTCTATATCATATGCCCGCAAAGGAATAGTGAGTAGTGCCGTGAAGACTCCTAGGTACTATTGCGCTTTAATTTATGCATTTTCTAACAAGGAAAATAAACAGCCACCCCAGTAAATAACATGATAAGAAAGGATGGGGCAAAGATAAGAAAATCAACTGGTGATTTTTACTGAGAACATTGTGATATTTTATCTTATTTGATCACAAGTAGTGTGACATGCATAACGCAACACCGTTTATTTTATAGCCTACAAAAGGACAGAACCTGCAATTACCTTAATAAAATGTAGAAAACACCTTAAAGTAGAAGATCGCCTTACATGAGTTAAACGAAATGATTCTTTTCTGTGAAACATTCCATTATCTTTTGACTGACATTGAAAACGTCTTGCAGCTATGCTAGGCCTCTGTGCATGATACAGGCAACCCAGTGAACGCCTATAGGGCGTCTTGTCTGTTATTTGTTCGGGTGACCTTGGTTGGAGAAGTTTCACTATAAATACCTACATTTATTAGCATATTAAGGGTCGTGCTTTCCAGGTCTCATTGCATCGGTTGTTTATTTTATTAGGTTATATTGCGATCTGAAATGAGTTGAACACGTTTGCAATTCTCTAGTCGAATGAATACAAAAATTAATAAAAAATTAAAAGTAACATCAGAAGTTTATAACTTATAAGGTTTTTTTTCTTTTTTTTTTTTTTTTCTATCTTTTTCTAGCTCTCTTTTTCTTTTTCTCTTTCTTTTTCCCCCCGCCTTTTTTTAAGGCATTTGTCACTCACCTATTTCTAACTACTGATATAGATCCAGGTTTTTAATTCTGTAAAAAGATTAGTGTCGAACGATCAAAACCAAAACAAATATCAATACAATTGGAAAAAGGTCAGTCTCACCTTTGCTTTACCAAACTGTACTTAGTGTACCACTGTACTTTTATCATTAAATCTGTTTTGAAAAATCCTTTCAAGTTGAAAACCACCAGTTTTTAAGAAGAAGGACGGCTGATTATAGTGATGCCCAATTAACTTGTTTTAAAA